ATGAGTATGAAGTAAATGAAAATGATAAAATATCATTAGATTTTAGAAATGCCTTAGAATCAATAAAAACTTGGTGAATCATAAATTTTATGTAGAAAGTGAAATTACTTATATTAACATGTCTAAATAGAATGAAGAGGCCTTAAGCATTCGCTTCTAATAAAATTTTGATAATAATAATAATAAAAATAATATATAAAAAAGTAAAAAATAAAAGTTGCCAAGTTGACAGGTTTAAATATATCACAGAAACCTTAAACTTTTGTTTGTAATACAACCTACTTAAATCCACTTGATTGGCTTGATCAGGTATTGCCAGAATGCAAAGAAAAGTTGAAAAAATATATAAACGTAAAAAAATATGCATGTTTCATAAAATGGTTTTTGTGTGCAGTCATGAGACTATTTCTATTCTAAACTCAATTGAAATAGCATGTTTCACAATATAAAAAAGATCGATGATTGATTTTGTCACAAAGTGATAAAACGAATGTCCATTATGCTGATGATGTTAGTAATTGTATTTATGGCATATAAAAAGTGGTCACAATTACCTTTGCAACCACTTTTGCAACCATACTTTTTCCTTTTTTGGATTACTGCACTAGTCTTTATTTTCACCTTTACTCAATTTCTTAATTCCATCAAAATCATACTAAGAGTGCCATTAGGATCTTTTCCTATAATTTCATCTTCATTAAGAACATAATTAATTTGCTCCCTTACTGCTTTGCAAAGACATTTAAAACAAATGGTTTAGATGATTGTCAACATGGCAATATAAAAAATATTCCCAAACTTAAGTCACGAGCATTTGTTGATTTTGAAGTAGCAGAAAGTGTGGAAAATTTTATACTAAACTATGCTGATTTACATGGATTGCCATCTCCAATGAGACTTCATGATAATTCAGGCCCATATATTTATCTAGGAACTCAAAACAGTTATAGTTCAGTTTTTCATGAATATGAAAAATGTTTTGAGGATAGTCTTGTTGACACATTTATACTAAATATAAAGTATAAAACTTTTCACAAACTCTGGACTCAATTAACACCACACATTAAGTTTTTAAATTCTTCAAATGATCTATGTGAAAATTGTGAAACTTTTAGATTAAAATTATTTAAATTTAAATCATTAAATGAGGAGGATGAAGAGATTGACATGCAATTCAAGTTTGATGAACATCTTGCAGCTGCAGATTGTGAAAGACAACATTATAATAATGTTAGAAAAAAATGTAAAAATAATCCAACATTAACTCACATCTGTTATGATTGGGCTCAAAGTGTTGCTGCACCATATTCACCTCTACAAGTTGGCTCAATTTATTTTAAAATTCCTTTTAAAATAAATATCTTTGGTATATGTACTCAAAGAGATAATAGAGATAATTTTCAGCTAAATTATACAATAGGGGAAGATGAATTACCAGAAGGAATATCAAAAGGGACAAATACAACTTTGAATATGGTTTTTGATTTTCTTCAAAAAAGATTTATATGTGACATGTGATAATTGTTCAGGACAAAATAAAAATAACTTAATATTCATGGTTAATAATGTTGATACTAATCGGCAAAATCTGTCTCAAGATATTAACTATGATGCATTTTAATTCAAATTAATTAACCCTTACTTTTTTTTATGTTTATTTATTCACCTTTTTATTTTTATGCCTATTATATTTTTTATGTGTTATAAGATAATAAACGTTTATTGTAAAATCTTACACTTTTGCAAAACAAGATACAAAATTAAGTTTGAGCACAAAAATATTTTACCTTATGTCACAGGAAAAAATCATAATCCTTGTTCTCATCTTTATTATTGTTGTTGTTATTCAGGGAGGTGGTAACGGATTTAAATAAATCAGATGGTATTGATAATGGATTACTTAGAGTTGATGATCCTATAGTGATTTTTTCATTTCCACCTGGTGTAAGTGCTTGTTTAAGCAAATATAATTTCTGCATAATAAATTTTCTTTGTCTTTGTGTAAACAATTCATTTGTATTGTTTATTAAATGATCAATAAAACTTTTTAGTATAACCTTGCCTTTATTATGAGTAAAAAAATAAGAAAAAAGTATTAGTAAATGTCCTTTAAGTAGCAAATGGATAAATAAATTTATTGAGATTAATTAATTAAACAAAACCTTTACTAGTTAATTCAGGTTTCTCGCCAATGTCCATCCTTTCATCAATCAAATCCCTACTATTATATTTCAATGACCATGATAAATAAGTATAAACAGAATGATAATCTGGTCCTATTTTAATAGCTTCATCTAATAGTACAAATAAATAATATTAATTATTAATTTTATTATTACTATTATAAAAATATAATATTGTTATTTTTATTTTACCTGGAGATAAATCAAAGGCCTTGAAGAAAAAAATCTAATTAATTATAAATAATAAATAAACATACTATTATGTAATGCATTAAAAAATTCTTACAGCAATAATTTTATTCTACTCTGGATCATTTTTTGCTGTAATTTCTACATGATTTAATAATAAAACATTTTTTTCAAGAGTTTCTAAAAACAACTCAAATTTTTTGAAAATAACTAGTTTAATATTAATGAATTAATCAAATTAATCAGTAATTGAAAAGTTAAATATACCAATATTAAAATTTTTCAGTTTAATTTCAGAATTTGTTGATTGATTTTCAGACACTAATTAATCATAATGATGATTATAATAATAATATTATTATTATAATCATTACATCAAATACCAAAAAAATCAAAGTCCATAAATTACTTACTTGTAGTGTTATCATCAACTCTATCAGATAGTAAATTAATATTTGAAGATGAATGTGAAGTTGAAGAAAACTGATGATTATTAGGAACTGACAGTGGTGGTGGTGGTGGTGGTGGTGCAGAACCAGCTGGTAAAATTGGAATTAATCGTGATCTAGCTTTAGTTGGTGTAGTATTAGGTGTTGTGGCTTTTATCTTTGTTTTCTTATTAGGTGTTTTATTACTAGAAGTATTATTATTTACTGTTTTTCTTGTTCTTTTTGGTTTATTTAAATTTAAATGGCGAGCACATTTTCTAATTTGTTCAAGGCTTCTATTACAACCAAGTTCATCTTTTATCTTTCTCCAGTCACTGCCATATCTTTTTAAAAGAGAAAAAGATTATAAAAGAATATTATAACAAAGTAATATTTGAAGAGTTAAGAATTAAAAGTTTATACTTTTCAAAGCATCCAGTCAACTTCAAATCTTCTTCTTCACTCCATTCAACGAATTTTCTTTTACCATATGTTTTTTTTTGAGTTGATTCAACTTGTTTATCATTTGTCATTTTTTAAGAAATTCGCAGATCAATCAAATTTAGAAAATTATAGTTAATATTTAATGGCGAAATAGATCCGAAATGGCGAAACTAATCCGATTATCTGATTGGTCACAGAATAAATTGCGAATAACGAAATTAAAAAATTTGATTTTTGCTTGATTCAATCATTAGCATTAAAGAATGAAACTGGCTTTTTATTAATTTCAATTGGACTTGAATTGTTTCAAGTCACAAGCCTCTGGGATCGTGTAACTAACTATTACAAATACTGTAAAACTAGTATTAATAAGTATAAAAATAAGTAATAAAAAATAAAAAATAAAAAATAAAAAAATTCTCACACAGTAACATTGTTATTTGTTCCTTTTGTTTTTGATCGAAACATCATTTAATTGAGCCCGACTCTGATTCAGCAAATATTACTACAAAAAAAAAAATCCTGGCAAAAATAAGTGGTTTGGTTGGAATACTCACATAATTCAAGGAGAAAAAATTTCTCCATTGAAAAGCTACTTGCAAATGTTTCAAGACAAGATCATCAGTTTTTGGTCATTTTAAACGGTCTGAAACGTCGGAGCAAGTCGAAGACCTAACAGTAGACGGCAATCGACACCACGCAAAAAACATATAAAGCGAAACACAATTTCCTTTCAGTCAAATATCTGTTTCGCTCAACCCTGGCATTTTGAACCAAAACAGATAAGTTTTTCAGTTTCACAATCATGACAAGCAGATAACAATTGGGATTCACAGTACAATGACGTAAAATAACCACAACCATTTATCATTTTTTTGGAAAACGAAAATATTTCTGTTCAAATTTCAATTTTATTAATTAACAAATTTCAATTTGCAAATCATTTCAAGCCAGCGCAGTAAAGAAAAAAAAAACGACTCATCACAAAGTTTTACCCTCGATTTTGATCTCATACTTCCCCAAAAATTCAGTTTGCCAAAGTTGAGAAATAGGACGTTTAGAATATTCGTGCTGATTCGTGCTGATTCGTATCGTAACTGAACTGAACAGAACAGAATATTCTTTAAAAATGAATTATTTCCCGTGCAACCAAACATTTCAAAATTGGGCAAAGTCGTTAGAGAAAAAAAAAAGGGGAAATATTACACATAATATAAAAAATCTACACAACGACATTTAGTAGGGCACCGTAACACGGCAACCTTTTCTTCTTTTATATATGTTAAAAAAGTTATTCTCATTTATTAAAACACTAATTCAAAATTTTATATTTTATATAATGTCACATTTTAAATTATTATCATCGTTATCACAAGAAAGAAAAGAATTTGTATTTAAAATTAATAATGAAATGAATAATAACACTCAGGTTAATTCCGATGAAGAAAGTATAAAAGATTATTTTTTTTCATTAGTCAAGAAAAACAAGGAGCTTTCTGAAAATGAAAAAGAATATTGTAAGAAAGAGTTTATTTATCAGGATGAATTAAGAAATGCAAGAGATAAAAAGGGAAAACCAAAAGAGTGTAACAAGTGTAAATTGACAAGATACTCTGATAGGTTCTGTGAAGGTTGTATCAGCTTACAATTACAGAGTCTTTTTACCACTTGGACATCTGGAAATAACATAGTTGACAACTTTATTCAACAATGTCAAAAGATTTCATCTCTGCCAAAATATATTTTAGAATGGATACCTTTTGAACAATTTGAAAAAGTAACAAAGTTGACAGAAGGTGGATTTAGTTCAATTTATAAAGCTACATGGACAAGAGGAATAATAGTTGATTATGACGAAAATAAAAAGGAATTCAGTTATTTTGGAGGTAGAGGGCTACTAGTAGTATTAAAAAGTTTAAATGATTCAAGTAATCCAGGAAAAGCCTTTTTTGATGAGGTTGGTAGTTGTCATTTAAAACAAAATAAACAATACTATATTATATAATACTAATTGATTTTATTTAATTACAGGCAATGAATTATTGTAAAATTAAAGCACCACTGATTGTTAAGTGCTTTGGTATAACTAAATTCCCTGATAATGGAAATTATGCAATAGTTTTAAATTATTTATCAGAAGGAAATTTAAGGGTTTACTTACAAAAAGGTCATTTAACATTAAAAGACAGAATTACAATACTTAGATATTTATGTAATGCATTAGATTATATACATCGGAAAGATTTAATCCATTGTGATTTACATAGTGGTAATATATTAATAAGTGGAGATCGTTGCTTTATTACAGATTTGGGATTATGTGGACCAGTTGATGAAAAATCATCAGGTAAAGTCTATGGGATTGTATCATATGTTGCACCCGAACTACTTAGAGGCAAAAAGAACACCAAAGAATCAGATATCTATAGTGTTGGGATGTTAATGTGGGAAATATTTGCAGGTCATCCACCATTTGATGATAGAGCTCACAATCATCGTTTGATTTTTGATATATGCGAAGAAGGTTTACGACCACAAATACTACCTGAAATGCCTGACGATTATGTGCAAATGATGCAGAGGTGTTGGGATGAAGATCCATCAAAAAGACCAACTAGTAGTGAGCTTTATGATTTCGCTGAAAATAAACTAGATGAAATTTTTAAAAATGAAAGTTTGAAAAACAATAGTAAGAATAATAGTTTAATAAAAAGATTATTCAAGTTTCCTAAAATTAAAAATCATGATAGCAGCAGCAGCGGTGGTAATAATGCTTCGCAACAAGCACACAAATCACACCCAGATGCATATCATAAAAGTAGAATACTAGATGAAGAGATTGCTCAATCAAAAAGCTTGAAAATTTATACAAGTAAAGATAGTTCGTTAAACAATCTTGATTTTAACACTCTCCTCTTAAATACTGAAGGTGAATAAAAATTTCATTATTAATTAATTAATTAGAACTATCCATTAATTATTACTAACAATGCTTTTTATTTACATTTAATTCTAATAATTAAAAGAAGGAATCGATGATGACTAATTTAATCTCCACTATAAATTATTTGTTATAATTATTTGATTATTTTATTTCTTATAGCTAAATTATTTTGAAATAATAAACTTTTTGATTCTTGTTAAATGGTGGTATCATTTCGGCCAATTAACAATTATGGCTTAACTTTTGGATACTCTTGTCAGTTAATTAGTTTACAAATTTACATTGGTTCCCTCTTTCTTGCACCTAGACGAATCTGCAAGCACACTTAATGGTACCAGATAAATGTAAATAAATAAATATGGCCTTTTACAAAACTCGAGAGCTTCTATAAAGTTCCTTTTATTCACTTGTGATCGATTTATTCGTTTACATTTATTGACTCTCTTTAGTTTACTTGAAAAACAACTCAAGTAGCTTGTTTAACTGCCTTACGTTTAGTATTTCTAATTAACCTTTGGACGGTACTTTGTTAATACTCACTAATTAACCAACGTTAATCCTAACCTTGCTTGCTTGTTCATTAAAGCAAATAAACGTGGCTTTTTACAAAGCTCCACAATTGTTACCTTTTACCAAGACATTAACTACACCTGTTGCTTTTATCAAGGCGCTTAAACAAAGAAAATAAAGACAATATTTTTATTTAATGATTAATTTTTATCAGAGTTTTATTTTATTAGAATGTTAATTATCCTCTGCGAGGACTTTAATGAAATTTTCGTTGATCGATACAATAAGGATAAAGATTATTGCAAAAGTAACTTAATCAATAAATATTGATATTATAATTATTTACATAAATAATTAATACACTAAAATTAATTAACCTGGAACATAAAATACCAAATCAGGAGAGATTGGGGTGCACGAGAAAAATATAAAAAAAAGACCTTGGAATATATATTTATAAGTTTTTTTGTAAGCTTTTATATTTTATTTGCCTTTAAAGCAATTTTACTTGCGTAATAGTTTTACAACTTTGGTAACATTTCGTCAAACAACATTAAAAGGGGTTAAAAAGAAAAAATAGACCAGTATTTAACAATAAAAATAAGTTTATTTTTCTTCTTTTAAATGTTTTTGCTTTTTGTTGGGTAATAGCACATCTTCATTCTGCTTTTTTTTTCTAACATTTATTATTTTTCTTTCTTCTTGGTAAATTTCATAGGAAATCCTTTCTTTCCTTAGATAAGCTTCCATTGCCTGAGTATCATTTATTTTGAAAATGTAAGGGGCAATTTTCTCACCTTGTTCCTTTTTCAAAATACTTCTAATGGTGCTGTAAATTCTTGGGTTCCATAATGTAAATTAACTTCATATTGATATTAACTATTTTTATATAGAGGTAATTCTATATATCAAGAAAAAAACAAATATAACGAATGGGAGATTTTAATAATCACATTACTAAATTTTGATCCCTGAAATTTTTGTAATACCAATGTTCACTTTGTCTGGCTTTGTTGCAGTCTGCCCCAAATAAAATGATATATTGTTGACATTCACAAAATAAAATCTTTTTAAGATTAGTATTAATAGAAATGTCTTTCTTAGTAATACTGACCCGAGACCGACCCGTTAGGAGACTGTCAAAATACTATATATTTTGAACTAGACATATTAATATCCTAAAACAATTTAGACACCCATAAGGCGACACAATAATAATATTACGTTTCACAACATTATTCATTATCAATCAATGAAATGAAATTAGTCTCAATAGAATTATAGAAAAAAACAATTTGAATTTGGATGCAAATAAAAATATATTGGAATTTTCAATTCTTCTATCAAATGAATCAATTTGTTGTTACTTCACAAGATCCAAATTATTTACAACTGTAAGAATTATAATAATAATAAGATTCATTATCACATAGTCCTAAATCGTAAAAATTAATTTTATCTATAGTAATATTAGCACATGACATATTATCAATTTAAAAATAAATATTGAATGGTGCTATTCAGCTACCAAGACTTGGTCTGTGACACTAAAATATCTTTTTGAATGACATTTCTTTCTAATATATGATAGGTGTTCTAGGAAAAAGGGATCAAAACGTACAATCAAACCTTGTC